GCTCCCAGAAGATAGAGCTCACCCACAGATATAGTTATTATATTTCGGAAGAAGGTTAAAACACCATACTCTTCTTTTTTTATTCGGCTTTTTGTTTTTTGTTTTCTTTTGTTTCTGTTTTTGTTTTTTTGTTTTCTTTTGTTTCTGTTTTTGTTTTTGTTTTCTTTTGTTTCTGTTTTTGTTTTCTTTTGTTTCTGTTTTTGTTTTTTGTTTTCTTTTGTTTCTGTTTTTGTTTTTTGTTTTCTTTTGTTTCTGTTTTTGTTTTATTTTTGTTTTTATTTTTGTTTTGTTTTTTTCTATTTGTTTTGTTTTGTTTTGTTTTCCTTTTTGTTTTTCTTTTGTTTTTTCTTTTTGTTTCTCTTTTTTTAACGATATTGATTGGAAGTCGAAATCGCGCGAATTCGAATTAAACAGTGTCAGGGTGAGTTACCAACCCAATAAACTGAACTACTTTCCTTTTTAATGGTTGATTCTACAAGGCAGTGATGACGTCTGTAAGTTAATTCTTAATCACAAAATCCAGTTTTTATTATGAAATTCGATCTCATTTCAGTAATTGATTTGCTTCTTTAAATTTCATAAGTGGGATATGGCGGGGCGGGGGGGCGCTTTTCATTTGATGAGATTTACACTTGAAAACAGGTTTGTTCTGCTTTTGGCCACACCAGGTTAGTTTATAGAAGAAATCTCAAAGCCTCGAGAAAATGAACGTACCAGAAAATGATGAGTAAAATAGGCGAATTGATGTTTTTACTCCAATTCAATTTAATGTAGCTAGTAAGCTTTTTTTATAAAAAAAAAAAAAATGTAGTTATTCTTTTATGTCGTGTGTTTTATTCGGACAATTGTATCTGTCTTTTGTTTTGAGTTATTTGACAGTATTTTTCTACAAAGAGGATATCAGACCTCTTTTAATTTCCTGCTGACTGCAAATGGTTGTTTATATTTCCCACGGATGCATACGTAGATCGTAGATTGCGAAAGCATGAAACTACGAGTCACGGAAACTTTGTTTCGATGTTGATTTTACTATTTCTATTTACGTTCTACTTTATGTATTGAGCACTATACAGCCAGCTAAAGCATCTCCTCCACATCATTTATTTCTCTTTATATTCGGTTCCATTGGAAGATCGAAAAATTAAAGAATCAGATAGGCTGAAAATTATATTGAAAATACTGTTTAAGACATTGCACTTGGTTTACGTGACTTTTAACGTCTTCAAGTTGGGATTGTTATCAAAGTGCAAAGCAGAGACTTTTCCCAGCTCTCGTTGTGTGAAACAAAAGCCCAGAGTAGAAAAAAAGAATTGTTTCTACCATTTGCTATGGTGCCTTAATTGCGATGAGCGTTATGAAACCTTTCAGTTATTTGTGATAATCGAGTATTCTAGTCATATTTTTGTGTCAATGAATGTAGATTGTTCAATTAATCCTGCGTGTTTTTACGTCGTGCTTTAATTGGTTACCGTCTTGTATTTCTGTTTATCAAAACCTCGGAAAAGCCGGGGCACCTGCCATTGTGGGTTTAGCTTTTGTAAGCGGAAACAATTTTTTTCTAACCGTTGTTAGAGTCCTGCAATGACAATAAGCATTATGGCACCTTTCGGATATATGTGAAAATTGAGAATTTTAAACATCTTTTTAATGTCAACGTTTTGCGGATTCTTTTAATTAAAATTGTCTATTATTTACCTCGTCCGGAAAAAAGTTTACAGTCTTGTAATTCTGTTCACCAAGTAGTAACAGAGGGACAAGAAATGTAAACAAAAATTTTTATGAAACTGAAGCTCTACCTTTCCTTCTTCATACTTTACAAAAAGCAAAATGTTATTCCACGAGGCTACAATAACAGTCTAGAAACTAACCTCCCTTTGGTACGGAAATTTAGACTGTTACATGTTTGGGGGCATTATCCGTCCCGGGAAGTGAACAATTTGCCGCATCAACGAACAGAAATTCTCCAGTTTAAGCTGTGACAGTAAGGAGCATATTTGATCACGTGATGCTATCATGATCATTTTTTGCGCGAGCCCAACGAAGACAGCCGCTGAGGGGCGACATTTCTTTTTCTACTTATGAGAAAATACTTTCCTCTCTTACTTCATTTACCCTTTCCAAGCCCTTTTTCATCAGATACGATTCATTAGAGGAACCAGTTGTAATACCAAAATGTACAATAACTGTTCCATTTCAGTTCAATAGCAAATGCGAGAGAAGAGTCAATTGTTGTCAAGTGCAGAGAAACTATCAGCAGGTGCCAAGGACGAAAAAGTGATCAGTCGAAAAAAGCTGTCAAGATCAATCGCAAGTAATTAGTAAGTCAGACACAGGCGGGGGAAAAATAATTAATCAGTACAGTCGTGGGAACACAGAACTGCACGATTCATCAGAACATCTCACAATTCAATAAACAGAAGACCTTACACGTCGCTTTGATTTGTCTTGTCTTGTCCTTTTTTTCCTACGCGCCAGTTGTTCTTCAAGAAATTCATAATTTTTTCTCCGGTAAGACATCCAAATATGGAGTAAAAAATAAAGGTAGTGGAGGTGACCAGTTAAGGAAACCGACAGACTTCTTGGTTAAATGTTTTATTAGATATTGTGGAACTGACCTTCACAAAGTTCAGTAGCTTTCCATTAATTTTGAGATGCCTGACCAATAGAAACTCTCTGTCAATTTATTCGGACTCTACTGGCATCGGCAACGCCTAGAACGGCGGCGCAATAAGAGCACACGACGCCCATATTATTAGAATGACAAATTCGATGAGGCTCTCATAACTGACACATCTTCAGTTACCTTCTCTCTGTGTAGTGCCTTTACTTCACAACATTTTGTCAATCAAAGAAATACAAGCGCGAACCCAAACCACTCTTTGTTCGAATGAAAAGCACGTTTCCTATTGGTCGAAAAACAGAAAACAAGCCATGGCTGACCAAGCAGTGACATTTGAAACAGAGGCCTTTCATTTACCACTGAAAATTTCACCACTAAAATCGCTAAGAATTTTGAACGATGGGTGGGAGGAAGAAATATTCTTGAGGGAAATTATAAAAAAAAATACACAAACATATCAGAACTGTCTCCGTGAAAAAAGTAAAAAAAAGTTATTTTCGAAAGAAATTAATTCTCGCATAGCATCCTTCTTAAGGTTCCTTTTACAGCGAGTCTCATTTCTCGAAGCCGCCAACAGTAGATCACTGGATTTAAAGACGAATTCATGAACACTACAGTAGATGACGTATTCCATAGTATGGGTCTATAATACTCAATCCATGGTTTAAAACCAGGTCCATTTTCAAATTTTCTGGTTAATAACATCGAAATAAACATAGGAGTATAGCAGAGAAGTAGAAAGTAATGAACCAAAAAGGCGTTGGCTGCTGTTTTTTTAAATCGCACCATTTGCAATCCAGTCCCATGTTGTACTGCTTGCACTTGTACTTGGATTTGTCGTTGATGTCGACGAACATTGCGATAGATTTGCAAATGTACAATGGTACACAGGGAAAGACAAAATGCTATTCCACAAGTAATGAGAATGTGGAAAACCCTTCTCCCTGCCCATAGTGAAACGGTTGCCAAAAATCCACTTATTAACCAGTTCATAGCAGTAATGAAAATGACTCGTGGAACAGTTATGATATTGGAATATCTCAAGTGAAATTGGATTGCCAAGAACCTATCTACACTGATAGCTGTAACTGTCATTAAAGAAGCAGTGCACGCCGTATAGGAAAGAGCGATAAATGTAATTTCGGAAACACATTTATCTATGTCAGAGTTTGAAAAAAGCAGCGCCAAATTGAAAGCTATGAATAGTGGTTGAATAAAGACAGCAACAGCCAGATCAGTTGTGGCGAGTCCAGAAAGCAAAACCACTGAAGGTGAGCGAAGAGCAGAAGTCTTCCGGCACACTGCTAAGATGACCAAGGTATTTCCTATTGCTGATGTTATAAGAAGCAAAATGTTAATTGCACAAATGAACACGATGAATTGTGATGGAACATTTTGATGCTGAAATATTATGGAAGAATAGAGGCAAGTATCCTTGTCTTCTGCTTGAGCCATTTTCACCTGAGAGGAAATGGAATAGTTATTGTACATACTAACTTCGTTATGGAATTTCAGTTTCAAACTAGATCAGACCTGTGTTGGTCGAATTTCCTTAACAGAACCGTGTAAAATGAAGCTATTGCAAGGAAAAATATTTCTTAAGAGTGCGTGCAAGAGATTTACAGCATATCTAAGGGTAATGTGCCATTATTTACAGGGGACACGACCTATTGTCATTCAATAATTAACAAACCAAAGGTTTGTCGCTCACATCTCATTTCATTTTCAGATCCAAAGATCGAAATCGCGCAAATTCGCAATAATGACGTCTGTAATTAATCACAACATCCAGTTTTTATTATGAAATTCGATCTCATTTCAGTGATTTATTTGCTTCTTTAAATTTCATAAGTGGGAAGTGGCGCGCTTTTCATTTGATGAGATTTACACTTGAAAACAGGTTGTTCTGCTTTTGGCCTCACCAGCCTAGTTTATGGAAAAAATCTCAAAGCCTCCAGAAAATGATTGCACCAGAAAATGATGAGTAAAATAGGCGAATTGATGTTTTTACACCAATTCAATTTAATGTAGCTAGTAAGCTTTCTTTAGAAAAATGTATTTATATATTCTTTTATGTCGTGTGTTTTATTTGGACAATTGTATCTGTCTTTTGTTTTGAATTACTTGACAGTATTTTTCTACAAAGAGGATATCAGACCTCTTTTAATTTCCTGCTGACTGCAAATGGTTGTTTATATTTCCCACGGATGCATACGTAGATCGTAAAATGAATATCTCATTTATTTCTCTTTATATTCAGTTCCATTAGAAGATCGAAAAATTAAAGAATCAGATAGAAATGAAAATTCTTTCTCTTTGGCCATCGTAGCTTGATAAGAAATACCACACAAACTGCAGTTACAAACATGACAGTAAAACGCATGTTGGAAAACAAGATCAGTAAACTTTACTTGACGTTTCGTATGTTTTGACATACATCCTCAGAAGTGAAAGTTGATAATACAAGTGGCGACTGAGTTTAAATTTAAGATAAGTAACTAATTAGCATAAGAGTGAACAAAAGAAAACATTTTGCACATACAAAGATGCAAACTAATACAGATAAAGCTTATCGCTGCTGACATAATCGTTTAGAGTTAAATGTCAAAGGTTTTTTATAAGGCTAGCTGTTGGGACTGCCCGGATTTTTACACTGGAAAAACAAAACGTGGATTGCATGACAGAAAAACTGAACATTTGAAAGGGCTCACAAGTGCCTGTCATACATCTGCTATCGCAGACCACGTGACGTCAACTAGTCACAACATGAAATGGGACCACCTTGAGATATTAACAAAAGGTCGTTCTGATACTCATTGTAAGATAAAGGAGACTCTATTAATTCAAGAACTTAAACTGCTGGATATGCTAATATTAAAGACATGTTAGTCGCTTGATTTCTCGTTAGTTGCTATCTCAAACATTCCTCAGTAACCCAAAAGTGGGCAATGGTGCCCATATAAGAGCCTCCTCATAGACTAAAATTTTTCCAAGCCTCGCGGGTTTTTTATTTTTTCTTTCTGAATTGAGCTGAAGTGCATAAAGGATCAAGGGGGTAGGTGAGTAAGGCGGCATCTGTCTCTTTCCGGTCCATCACCTCTTTTGCCTCAGTCTCGTTCAGCGTGTGTTACATGAAGTACTTAACCTATTGAGCCCATCACACCTATTTTCAGGGCAGCGGGTGCGCTTTCAAGAATAACATGGCGGCCAAACGAGTTATCGATGTGAATGAAGCTTCGGTAAGAGTTATTTGTTTCACATTATACTAAGTACTCTATGTATCTTCAGTGATGCGATCTGATAGAAACAAATTCCTCTTAGATTGTAGATTTAAAGGCTGAACTCGCCCGGAAAGAGTCGCAATTCAAGCGAGAGAAACTTGGAGGGGAAAAGATACCAAGTCGACAGCCGAAGGTGGGTACAAATTTTTGCATTGCAGTCCTTGCCAGCTTACATTCGAAGGGATGTATATATACGCAACGTAGAATAATAAATGAAGTCGTTGTTCTGCACAGTGCTAGCACAGCTACAGTTGTACAATCATTAGCCAAACTTCATTAAGTCTGATTACGTGTTAATACTGACGAGCTAGAGTAACATTTATGTGATCGTTCAAGCTGCGATTTAATCTTCAAGGCCTCTTCCTTCCGATGCTGATTGGAGAGGAGGGAAACAAAATCCTTTTCATTCAGACCGGAGAAAAACTTAATTCTTTACACCCTAACAATCTAAGAAAAAAAACTTAATTCTTTACACCCTAACGATCTAAGAAAAAAACTTAATTCTTTACATCCTAACAATCTAAGAAAAAACTTAATTCTTTACACCCTAACAATCTGACATCATCTTTAACACATATTCTCCATACTGCTATCCATATCCTAAGTTAATTGCCAACAAGGAGAATTTGTTCAACAATCAAGAGTTTCTTTTGACGATGATCCTTTTTATTGTTCTTGTGAGTTTAATTTTTGATTCAGGTGTGATATTGTAAGGACAAATCAGATTTGTATCAATGCTGTTAACCCTTTCACTCTCAAGATCTCATTAGTAATTTTCTTTACTGTCTGCTATACAGTTCTTTTGATGTTAGTTTGGAGAATCTGTTAGTGGATCAACTAATAATCCCCTAATTGATATGTCCTTGTTCTCAACACTTCTCTGGTTGAGGTTGTATTGATATTGTTAGAAGAATTTCTTTTGTTTCCACTCGTAGAGCTTAAGTCTTGAAATGGTTAGCCTAATTTTAAAAGAAACTGTGACATTTAAAAGATAGTGCTTTTTTCATAGAGGAAAGAATCCACACCATGATAGTAATAGATTGAGTGGGAAACATTGCACTGAACGTGTATCAGTTTTGCTTTCATATTAAAAAACAATGAAAATATTTTTAGAAACCTCCAGTCTGGGCTAAAGTTAAAAAAGAGACAAAAGTTTCAAACCCAGGGAAAGCACCATCGAAACAAGATGAATTGTCATTAGAGGAGCAGCAAGCTCTCCAAAAATCAAGGTACCACAGTTAACTTCTTCTTCTTCTTCTTCATATTATTATTATTATTATTATTATTATTATTATTATTCCCTTTTGTCAGTAATTGTCATGGGAGTTTTAATACTATGATTTTGAAACAGTTTCCCAGATCTTAGTGCTTATAATTGTTGTGGCCCCTCTACAAATTAAATGTAACTATGAATATGAAAATCAGAGGTACTATACTGTAGAAGATTTTTGGGGGGAAAGAGATTATCAAGCTTTTGCCAAAGATAAAGGAAAACTTTTATAAATCTGAGCATTTCTGGACTGTCTTCATTTCTCAATGGACTGATTTAAGAGAACAGAGATTAACACACCTAAAATGAAGCATATGATATTAATTGAGCATTGGCTGACTTGTGTGTTAAGAAATTTAGAAGATGCTTCTTCAAAATTTTAGTACCAGGATACAAGACACTGCTTTAAACAACTCATGTGACTTACCTTTAGAAGATTTTTTTTTGTAATGGACATTTATGCAGTCAATCTGTTTTTAAAGAATTTATATTCTACATGTAGCTATTGTACAGTAGTCATTGCTTAAAGTATTGTCTAAAGTTATTGTCAAAATGAAAGGAATTAGGTGAAGTTGACATTGTCTAAAGGTTTAACTATCATTAAATCTTTTTTTTTTTTCCTAACTAAAATTGAGACCTGAATTTAAAAATCCTTAAAATAACCCAGCCTGAGGAAAAGACCTCATTAATTTTGTGTTGCAACAGGAGGGTATAAACTCGCATGGGTTTATTTTCTTGTTTGACTTCATTTGCTCAGATCTGAAATGGTAATATGTTAGTGGGACAGAGCCTATAAATTGATAAAAATCACAGTACATGAATTGTATTACTTGAGGTTAACAACAGAAAGTTGTTTCCCTTTTGTATTTGATTTAGACAAGCTTTGGAAGTCAAAGCAGCATTGTATGAGAAGATGGCAAGAGGGGAAATTGAAGGTGAGACTCTGTATGTATCTTATTAACCAAGCACGAGGGCTGTACTGGGAGAATATCAGCCTGAGGTTTTGACAGTATGGACTGAGCGCAGCAAGGTCCATACAAAAAAGACCGAGGACTGATATTCTTCCAGTACGGTCCCGAGCAAGCTTGGTTAATAAGAGATTTATTA